CTACACCTCCAGACCACCATATGGCGATTGCGGCCTGTCCAGCACTGCTGGTGTTGTGGTAGTGGTGTTGCGTACAGAATCACCGAATGGCCGAGGTTGAAAAGGACCTCTGAAGATTGTCCAGTCCAACCCCCTGCCCAGCAGGGTCACACAGAGCGCATTACACAGGATGGCATCCAGGCAGGTTTTGAATATCTCCAGAGAAGGAGACTCCACAACCTCTCTGGGCAGCCTTGTCCCACTCTACTCTGCGCTGGTCTGGCCTCACCTGTGTGCAGTTCTGAGCACCACAGTACAAAAAGGACATTAAACTGTTGGAGAGTGTCCAGAGGAGTGCGAAAAAAAAGATGGTGAAGGGTCTAGAGGGAAAGATGTATTAGGAGCGGCTGAGGTCACTGGGCCTGTTCAGCCTGGAGAAGAGGAGGCTGAAGGGGGACCTCATTGCAGTCTACAACTTCCTCTTGAGGGGGAGTGGAGAGGCAGGTGACCTATTCTCCATAAACTCCAGAGATAGGACCTATGGGAATGGTGTTAAGCTGAGGCAGGGGAAGTTTAGGCAGGATATTAGGAAGAGGTTCTTCACTGAGAAGGTTGTCATGCACTGGAACGGGCTTCCCGGGGATGTAGTCACTGCACCAAGCCTGTCTGAATTTAAGAAGCGATTGGACTGTGCATTTAAACACATGGTCTAAACTTTTGGGTATACCTGTGCAGTGTTCTATGTGCATATTCTATGATTCTATAATTCTATGATCTGAGATCTTCCAAGGTCATTAGGTGACTTCTGGGAACTCTGTGAGGTGCTCTTCCAGATGTTATCCAGGTGCAACCAAGAAGAGCAGTGGTTGCCAGCTGCTGCAGAGGATGAAGGCACCAGTCTTCTGACCTGACCTGCTGTCCAGGGAGGTTTTCTCTTTGCCTGGAGCATGGATCAGGAACTTTGTGAAGAGATCCAAGGCTAGTCCACCCCTTGGACTGATAATACTACTGCTCTTCCACATGGGTACCAGAAGTACTGTTGTGGAGTCTAGGAGCATGTCAGGCATGTGTAAGTGTCTCTGGGGACTGTGATCAAGACCATGGGAATGCAGGTTGTTTTCTCCTCAATCCTGCAAGTGAGATGGAAGTGCTTGAAGAAGATTGGACAAGTTCTGCATGTCAGAAACTCAATGTGTAGCTAGTGTTGGAAATGGATTTGTTTTTTCATGACCATGAGACCCTCTTCGAGGTTAGAGAACCACAACGGAGAGAAGAGCTCCGCCTGAGTAAATGGAGTAAAAACATATTTTTCAACAGCCTGGCCAAGCTGGTGCAGGGTGCTTTAAACTACAAATGTCAGGGAAAAGAAATGCAGACCCACAATCAAGTGAGGAATTGGTGGACCAAGCTGTCAAGAAGAGGTTGCAGGGTGATATAAGAAAGCAGCAGCAAGGCATGGAACAATGCCTAAGGATGTTTGATGAACCAGTTCAGAGCTTATGGGTCTGAGCATAAGCATTCATGAGCAGAAAAATGTGGGCAATGTTGCAGTGGGTGTATGCTATAGAACACCAGATCAGAAAGGAGATAAGGCTTTTCTTAGACAGAGAGAAATCTTATGTTCACCTCAGTGTAACAGAAGGAACAAGGCAAAAGGGAGGACTACAGTCTTCTTGGAGAAATCTTATCGGATCATGGGATATGGCCCTGGAGAAAATTGAGATCCAGGAGAGCTGGTTGATTTTCAAGAATCACCTCCTCCAAACTCAAGAATGATCCACCACAATGAGCATCAAATCAAGCAAAGGTATCAGGAGACTTGCATGAATGAGCAAGGAGCTACTGACTAATGTCAGACTTGAAAAGGAAGCAAAAAAAAAAAAAAAGAGGGGAAAACAGGGACAGGTGATCTAGAGGAATATAGAGAAAATGTCTGAGCATGAAGGGATGGGCTCATGAAAGCCAAAGCCTATGTGGAGTTTAATCTAGTGAGTGCAGAAGGACAACACAAAATGTTTCTGCAGGTACATCAGCAGAAAAAAAAGAAGACTAGGGAAAATGTGGGAACAGATAAATAGACATACATAATTCCACGGGACCTGACAGGATACACCCAAAGGTACTCACAGATCTGTCCAGTGTTATCATAAGGGAACTCTCAATTGTTTTTGAAAGATGGTGGTAATCAGGAGAGGATCCTGAGGACTAGAAGAAATCAAGTGTCACTCCAATAAGTACAAGAAAAAAGATCCAGTGAGCTACAGGCTGGTCAGCCTCATCTTGATCCCTGGGAAGATGATGGAACAAATAATCCTGGAAACCATTTCCAAGCATATGAAGGGTATAAGATGATGCTCAGGAATGGTCAACTTAGATTTATGGATCAGAACTCATGCCTGACCAACCTGATGTTGATCTTTCCCCAAAGAGGCTGTGGAGTCTCCATTTTTGGAGATATTCAAAATCTGACTGGACATGGTCCTGGACAAACTGCTGTAACTGAGCCTGCTTAAGAAGGGGATTGGATTAGATGATCTCCAGACGTCCCTTCTGGCCTCAGCACTTCTCTGACTTTATGAATTGTCATGTCATTTAATTGCCAAAATATAATGTATTTTCCCTTTGGTCCGTGTACAGGCTGAGATTTGGAAAAAGAAGTGATTTAAAGACTCCCTTTGAAAAATGAGTCTGCCCTGAATATGTTGAAGCCCAGCACTGCAGAGACTGGGAGGTTTTCATAAGTTAGCAGAGACACAACACCAGCTCCTCATCCTACCAGACTTTTGCTCCAGTCTCATGAGAGCAGAATTACTGCTTTTTTATAAAACAGCAACTGCTAGGAGTTTTCTAAAATCAGCAAAAACTCTCACTGTAAAAAACTGACTAAGACATTTTAGCTGACTTCCCACTTGATAAATTTATTTTTTTCTTTTTCTTCTTTTTTTCATATACTTACAGATGTAAATGCGGTGTGTATACACATACACAAACTCACACAAATATTATATATAAATGAGTGGATATTGTCCTGGTTTCAGCTAGGATAGAGTTAATTTTCCTGCTAGTAGCTGGTAGGGTGCTATGTATTGGATTAGGATGAGAAGAGTGTTGATAACATGCTGATGTTTTAATTGTTGCAGAGCAGTGCTTACACCAAGCCAAGAACTTCTCAGCTTCTCACTCTGTACTGCAAGCGGGCAGGACAGGGGTGCAGCAGGAGCTGGGAGGGGACAGACACAGGACAGCTGACCCAAAGTGGCCAAAGGGGTATTCCATCCCATCTGATGTCGTGCTACACAATATATAGGGGTGTCTAGCTGGCTGCTCGGGGCTAGGCTGGGCATCGGTCATCGGGTGGTGAGCAATTGCATTGTGCATCACTTGTTTCGTACACATTAGTAGTAGTAGTACTATTATCATCATTATAATTATTTTCCTGTCTTAATAAGCTCAACTCACAGTCTTCACTTTCCCATTTCTCTCCCCCATCCCAGAGCGGGAGGGGGAGGGGGAGCGAACAGCTGTGTGGTGTTTAGCTGCCGGCCGGGTTAAACCACAACAATATATATTCAGATATATTAGTAAGGAAGATATCTAATATGTAAGATTTCAAAACCAGCAGTTTAAATTTTATGCATTTACAAACAAACAAAAAAAAATGGATTCAAATTGTAAGAGAGTTTGAGAAACATTGCTAAGGGAGGAATCTACCAACCTTGCTTACATAGCTTTTATTTTCTTGGAACATTTGACCAGCTTGGTATATTTTTACCATTCATTTATTCCGTTTTGTAATTGCTATATGTGTAACTCTGATGCCATCAGAATCTTTTGGTAGAAAAATGTATGACAAAGTACTCTTTTTTTTTTAACTCACACCTCTTTGAGGAGTTGTAAGGTAGATTTTTATTAGTAAGGGGATTCCTAAAAATATGTAGAAGTGAAATGTGCTTTAGACAGGGAATTATATGCTGAAGCTGTTACTGATGCCTGCTCCTTACTCAGACAAAACACACATTGAGTCAAGTCATTACAGAAGAGAAGTACATAACTTTATGTGGAGAATATACTACACAGAGAATGACAAATAGACAATCTCACTGAATAGAGATATGAAGTGTGTCTGTCTTTAAACATGTATACATGTGTGTATTTGCTTGCAGAAGAAAGAGTAACAATGTGGAATTATTATTCTGGTTTCTCACTGTTTATAGAGATCACTGATAGCACCTTCTGAAGCAAGAGTATTAGAAATTGTCGTGGTTTAACCCGGCCGGCAGTTAAACACCACGCAGCCGTTCGCTCACCCTCCCCCCTCCCTCTCTGGGACGGGGGAGAGAAATGGAAAGTGAAGCCCGTGAGTTGAGATAAAGACAGTTTAATAAGACAGGAAAATAATAATAACAAAATAATAATAACAATAATAACAATAATAATACAATGGTGATAATAGGGAAATAATAATAATATGTACAAACAAGTGATGCACAATGCAATTGCTCACTACTCGCTGACTGATGCCCAGCCTAACCCCGAGCAGTCCGGCCCCCTCCCCCCGGCTAGCCACCCCTATATATTGTTTAGCATGACGTCAGATGGTATGGAATACCCCTTTGGCTAGTTTGGGTCACCTGTCCTGGGTCTGTCCCCTCCCAGCTCTTACTGCACCCCCAGCCTGCCCGTTGGCAGGACAGAGCAAAAGGCTGAGATGTCCTTGGCTTAATATAAGCACTGCTCTGCAACAATTAAAGCATCGGGGTGTTATCAGCACTCTTCTCATCCTAAGCCAAAACACATCATTCCACCAGCTACTAGGAAGAAAATTAATTCTGTTCTAACTGAAACCAGGACAGAAATTAACAAAAATCTTGATCCTTGCTAGTATGAAGACCATATGTACAGGGAAATATGAAAATATATTGCTGTAGCAAAGACAGCAGCTGAGTACTCATCTCCAGATATTCCCCAGTCTGATTCAATTAATTCATCAATGTTCATCCAAATTTTGTTTCCTTCCCCAGGAACTGTAGGACCCCACTTAAAAGCAGACCAAACTTTACTTCACAGTAAAATGGAAAGTTCTGCCTGTAACATGATGACCAGAAGGAAACCAGCAGCTGTTGACAGTGTTGCAATGCCAACTCCAGTATTATCTCTCTTACCTTCAACAGAAGCAGCATCTGAAGCAGGTGAAGTTGTTTTTCTCCGTTCCCTCTATTTCTTCTTCACCTTCTTCCTCCCTGCACTGAACCCTATGTGCTTGTACTTCTTGATTTGAATAGTAGTTGCAAATATGCATATCTGATATGATAATCAGGCTGTAATTTTTTCTAACACTTTCTTATCATGATCATATCTTGGCATATCAAATCTCTTTTATTCACATACCACCACTTGTGCAATAATGAGGATACAAGTAGCACCAGCCCATATGGTCTAACAGGGGACTCTGAAGCAAGGCTCTTGGGTTGCTTTCTCAGCCCTGTTGTTCATTTATTTGAATGTTCCCATCCCTGTAGTATGAACATGCTGAATACACAGTGAATAGCTAAGGAGAAACTAAGATTTCTTTCTGCATATTTCAATGATTTTAACATAATATTCTGTCTTGCAAATGTGAAATCGTCTGGGGCAATGAACAGTAATTTAAAATATATGGGAATAAATAAGCAGTAGTAGCATTTTTTTCAATCAACTTATATTTTGTGCTTCTATTTGGAATCAGATTGGAAGGTGATAGCTTTATACAGTCAAAAATTGAGCCAAGTCATTCAGTCATCATCATGCCTTTTGGGGGTATGGATAGAGAAGTTAATCTTGCACTGTGTCTTAATTTCCAGTGAATGCCCACAGTACATTACTCTACATGCAGCCATTAGGAGTTTCTTAGTCTTGTCAAACCTCTGATTCCATATTCACAAAAAGGTATTTGTATCACTGAGTTATGGAATGATAACATATGCAATTGAAGGTGCTGTTTCAGTGCACTCTTTTTGATTTTCCTCTAGTTTCCTGAATAAATAGTGAAAACAAGGGAACCATGCTGTAACATGGCCTCTATAAAGATAAACTTTTATGTAAAAAAAAATAAAATCAAGAGTCTCTGTTTAGTCTTTAATACTTTCCTATATATAAACTAAGGATAGATTTTTAATGCAATGGAGACTGAAAGCACACAAATATTTTATGATCAGTTTCAAGATGAAAGTGTATGCTTAACTGCATAGTTCATTCTTTCAATTTTCAGAAGTCTAATTAAAGTGTTGGTTTATCTGTAGCCCAGATGTTGAAATAATTTAGTGAAAACTGAAAGAAACTGTGTTAATGGGAAAATAGGACAGTGCTATGGGTTTCCTGTAATTAATGGAGAGCTCTTTCAAAATTCCTTCATTCAAGTGAAGTCAATAAATTGAGCCCAGCTGTTGAGCAAACAGTCTTCTCTGTGCCATGTTCTTGCAAGTGGCCTCAGGCAACTCTGAAGGGATGGAGAATGACAAGCTGTAAGATTGATCTTTAGTGCTGCAGACATACCAAAGCTGTCCAGAATAAAGTCAGAGGAGCAATGGAGAACTTCCAAGATGTCTGATATATCCTTGTTCAACACCACCATGGTGGAGTGGGTTGTTCAGCCTCCTTTAAGCTACCTTTGGAAACATATATTTTTTGGTAGACATTTCTCTTATTGCCTCAGAAGCTATTTCCAGCTATATCAGTCCTCTGTGACTTCCCAGCTTGGCCAGCACTCATTTTGATTTGTCTCTGCCTATGAGACAGAGCCACACTACATCTGCATACCACGGGGAGGGGAGAAATGCACGGCCTCGGTGTGACTTATTTTAAACGTGCAGAGGTGTTTGTTTTTAATGCCAACACTGCTTCTTGCTTGTTTGATGAAGCTAGGTAGGTTGTTTGTTTCTGGAAAGTAGGGAAGGGATGGAGGAAAAGTATTAAAGTTTGATTGGACGGAAAGCAGCAGCAATGTGCAGAAGCAATGTGTAACTCTGCAGTTTGTTTTCATAGCCTGCATTTGAGACAGAGTGTTTGCAGGGGACACTGCAGCGTGCCTGTCTTGGATAGCATGTGGAAAGCCTCAGACATCCATTTTCAGACAGAAGTCCAGAAATGCTGGTGCTTATCTGAATTACCTGTGTCTCGGGAGGCCAAACTGCTTCCCTCTCCTATTGCTCTCTAGCGATCTCTCTGAAAGAAGGATTTCCTCCGTAATGGGTCCTCCCCATGGAGTAAAGGAAAAATCAGGGCACTTTCCTTCTTCTGCCAGCCTTTTGCATCAAGTACATGTATTTCTAGCTTCTGATCACTTTGGGCTAGACTGTGCCAAATAGCTTCAGGGCTTCACAGAGGCAGCATGTGGCCCTGCAGCCTGGGAAGGTGAAGGGAGATAACTATGCCCAAGCAGCAGTCCTCTTCCTGGTACTCCATCACCTGGAGGTTGCAATCATGTTGTATCATCTCTTCAGAGACATATTCTCTTCTTCCTATGTCATATACAGACACTGCGTTACTATTCCCAACCTCCTCTTCATCCCTTTTAAGATGAATTTCACCTAATAGAGATAGGGGAACGTCTTCCTCCCAGAGCAATGTTTCCATGTGCAAACAGTAAATTATGTGCAGGAAGAAAACAACAAAGCCTAAAAACAATGCAGACCAACTTGGGTCCAGGGTTGGGCAGGGGTCTGTCTGGATAAAATGGAAAAGATTAGTACTTAGCTTTGGTTTTCAGCAGAGCAGTATATCACATGGCAATACAGCAAAATATTTTATAACAAAGATTGCTCACCAAGAGCTTCCAGATGAGTTGATAATACCTAATGGCTCTCACTTCAATAGTGGTTTATTTTGGCAGATCTCCCTGATATTTTGTCATATGCACATCTCATCAAATCTTCCCCCTGCAGACCCATCAGACTCCTTTCCACATAGCCTGCCTTCTTCAAATGTAGAATCAGATGTCCCTGACTCTCAACAGTCAAAATAATATTGTTTCCTAATATCGCCTTTAAAAAGCCTGACTTGAAAGGATATTACTTATTCAAGAGGTGTATTCTGACTATTGGCAGATTATGTAACACAATTCAAATATTTTCTAAAGCGTGCAAGTTCAGCGGCTTGCTAAGGAGAAAAGCAAAAGCATTATTAGTAGCTTCTAACAAGCTTCCTGGGAAAGTCATAAATACCCCAAAGCATTTATGAAAGAAAAATTACTACAGTAAGCAGAACAACTTTTATTTTATTTTATTTTATTTTATTTTATTTTATTTTATTTCATTTCATTTCATTTCATTTCATTTCATTTCATTATTTTATTTTATTAAGAGAGAATGAGTTTCAGTTCAAAAGGAAAGGGTCTGTCAGCTTGCAAAGTTTTAGGATGGCAAGAAAGTCATCTCAACAACATGAAGGAAGACATTGGGTATACAGCTCACAGATTTACATATAAGTGTAGGTATCTACCACTAACTGTCTGTGTATCAGTTGATTTTAGAAAACTAGGCAGTTTGGCAGAAAGCAAATGCCTGCCTTTCCTCCACTCAGTCCCTGTCTACATGCCATTGAACTCAATTCCATCTCTAAGCCTGGGTGTCCTGGTTGCCTTGGGTGACTAAAACACCCATCAGGGCTGGCAGGACCACCAGGAGACCTGCACCCTAGTTATTCAGTATCTGGGGATCAGAAGGATGTCCATGGTCATCTCAAAAGGCATTAAACTCCCATTTTAAAAATAGAAGAGTAGGAATACATCCTCTACTGACTGTATGGAGCAGATCACCATTGACAGCGATGGGTTATTAATACTAGATGCAGAAATAACAGATACTAATAGATATAAAATCTTGCAGATTCTTCATTTCAAATTAGTTTCCTGCCCTTTGTCTTGCTGTCTTTCCAATTAAAGATGAGAATAATGCCAAATCTTCAGATTTCACCATGGACCTTGCAATTTTTCCTGTATTTTCACTAAAATTCCCATCTACAAGATTTCCATCACCAACTGAAAAATTTAAACTTTACTGTCTGGGAGGAAAAAAATGCATCTTGAACATAGGTGTTTTCAAAAAGTCTCGAAAATGGGCCCTGGCAATAGTGATAAAAGGCAAAATGTGGACAGCAAATATGAAGGCTGTGCAAAGCGTTTGATTTCTTAAATCCTCTTACCTGAAGCTACTCTCAGAATCTAGGAGAAACCCCAAAGAGTTGAATGCTTAGGACTGAAAATATTGGGACTTTATACGTTGGTCATCAGTGAGGCCACAGAGTAATGGCTTTGTGTGACAGGGATCTAATTTTTTTTTATCAGTTGACTGAGAAGGAGCTTGCGGCCACTTGCACTTAGGGCTCTTATACCCACCCTTTTTAGGGGTGACCTACTTGAGAGGAATTTTGTGCAACTAATTAGATTTTCCCTAGTAGTTTGGACATTTCATTTCCTTTCTCTTTTTCTTTGTTACCAAAATGAGTGCATTTCTCTTTTCTTTTGTCCTTTGTGAATCACAAACTGTAAGTGGGTTTTCTTTTCTTCTTTTTTTTCTTTTTTTTTTTTTTTGTATGGGGAGTGGGTTACATATGGAAAATGTATTTTGTTTTGTAATTAATGAAAACCAGACTTTGGGAAGTTGGCCATCCAGGTCTTTATTTATAAGAGAGCATATGTCTGTGTTTTGTTTATGACTCACTCCTACTTCTTGCATTGTAACTTGGATTTGTTTATGCAAGCTCTTTGCTGAATCCAAACAACGTGGTGGTATAAGAGCCAATAATTTATGTTGTCCAAGAGGGGAGGACTGTAAGTGATGTTTGTATGCTGAATCTGTCATAGTGAGCAAGGGAAGATTCTGCCACTTGACAGCTTCTGGTTATCTACAGAAAATGCTACAACAGCAACTTTATTTTATACTACAGCTAGAGGATTGCCCTGTTAGCCATGAAGGGAATAATAACCCCCAAATGAACTTTTCTCAAAATCTTGGCCACTCTGGAAACTTCAAAGATTTCAAACCCAAATGACTGCTTGATAGTCAGGTGTAAATTAAGTTTGCAAGTAGATGTGGGCTGAAGTTAATTTAGTGGGATGTTTTGTTCTTTACTGAAAAGAAATCACTAACTCAATCATTTCTTTTCCAGCAGTGCAGAATAGATATGTTAGGAGTGAAAGGGAGCACCAGTTATTGCAATAGCAGAATTAATACATACGGTTTCACTCACAAAGGGATAGTTACTTATAATCCACATGCAAATCTTGAACTCAGAACAAATGCCACATTTGTTAAAGGATAATGAAACAATTTAAGACAAAAAAAAAAAAAAACAAGCAAGGTCTCGTGTCCTAAGCAAAAGCCCAAGAGCCAAGAAATGCTGGGTTCTCTTTCCAGCTCTGACAGTGACTCACAATGTGACCTTGGCAAGAGACTTAACTACTTTGGACTTCATTCAGATCTAAAGTAAGTGATCTGAACCAGGCAGGAGTAAGCTTACTTCAGGGGCCATTAATGTCAATTATACAACTGATAGTTTCAGCTAGTTTCTGCAGAGATGATAGTAAAGAAATCCAAGTGGGACTAACGAATTTACCACAGGTGAAGTGAGCCACAGAACTTTCAAGTGCCCACTATTTTCAGTAACAAACACTTTTCATACTATCTGACATCCAAGGTAAGCATTAAAGACCAGCGTGAAGACATCAGGAGTACGTGTTTGGGGTATACAAAGTTTAATAGTTACGGTGGACCAATATGACACCTATGCTAAGCAGCCCTTTCTTCCCTCCCCCTAGAGGCTTAGGAATGAGACTGAAGCAAACCTACAGTAAAGCACTGATGTAGGAAAGTTTTGCTGCTTTAGAAGAGAAGAGAACTGGAGAGAGATCACTGAGAACAACTTAACAAAGTTGTGTTTTCATTTAGAACAGTAAAAGAGGAGGTAACAGCAATTCTTCTGGAACTGTAATAATTATATTTTTATTTTCTTTAATTGCTTGTCTATGCAAAGTCCTTTCTCACAGCCACTGCTTCTTCAGTAGTCACATTCAGCCTCTCAGTCTTGAAAACCCCTGATACTGAAAAGCAGACAAAGGAGGGTTTCCATTCACTGTTGTTTGACCCAGCCCTGTTTCTGTCCTTATCTCCCAACAGCCAGCCCACCACTGAAAAAAAGGTTCAAGCGCCATGAAATCGAAGCAATCCAGTGTGAGGTGCGCAAGATGTGCAACTACACCAAGATCCTGTCCACAAAGAAGAATATGGATCACGTGAACAAGATCCTGAAAGCCAAGCGGCTGCAGAGACAATCAAAGACAGGCAATAACTTCGTCAAGAAGCGGAGGGGGCGTCCCCGGAAGCAACCCCTCTCCTTTGACAAAGACTCCAGAGACCAAATGCCCATTCTGGAAAAATGCATTGACCTTCCCAGCAAAAGAGGTCAGAGACCAGCACTGAATCCGTTGATATTGGAGCAAGCAGCCACCCAAGACACGATCATGGCCACCATCGAGGCTGTCATACACATGGCTCGAGAGACGCCACTCCCTCCTCACCCCCTGCCATCCCCTCTCCCTCCGCCCCGGACGCCCCGGTTTGGGAAAAGGAAAAGTAAGTCCCCGCAGGAGGAGGAGGAGAACGTAAAAGTGAAGCGGCACCGGAAAGGCAGGGGAAGTGAAAGCGAAGGCCTCCCATAAGGCCAGCACACCCTGTTGGATGTCGGGTGCTGGTAGCAGGGCGTGCCGGGACTGGCAGACTGGAGGCACATGGTCTGCTTTGCCCCCACGACAGCACCGGACTTGTCCCTCGGGCAGCCGAAACCCATCATGGAGAGCTGTGCCAGCTGGGGTTCACATCTTCATCGCCCCAGACCCTCAGGAAAGAGGGTGAAAGGGTGAGGGTCTGGAAAGGTGGGGGCGATGGGGGTGGGGTTTCAAAGTTGGGGAGACTGTCTACTTTGCAGAGTTTCCAAAACTAATCAGCATCTCGGCATTGCTGTGCTCACACCGTACCCAGAGGTGGGAGGTCGTCCTCACAGAGAGCTGAATGTTGTCACTAGGGCTGCATGCTCGACTCCAATTCTGTTTGGCAGGCCGTGTGAAACTAAGAGTAACCATACCATAGTAGAAATCACTGTAAAAAAAAGGAAAAAAAAAAAAAAGAAAAATAAAATAAAATTAAATTAAAAAAAAAGAACAAAAAAAAATAGTGTAATTTTCTCAACTGTGATCTTGGTTATAATCTGTTTGAATTTTTCTTTTTTTTTTGGTTTTATATACCTACCAGGTTTTGGGGCACCATAACCCCAAATGCCTGACTCCTGATAGAACTATATATATATTTATAATCTTGAGAGTCATCACGCAGCACTTGCAGGGCAAGCAGGCGATCAGGCCCAGTCAGCATGGGTTTATGAAAGGCAGGTCCTGCTTGATGAACCTGATCTCCTTCTATGACAAAGTGACGCGCTGGGTGGACGAGGGAAAGGCTGTGGATGTGGTCTACCTTGACTTCAGCAAGGCTTTTGACACTGTTTCCCACAGCATTCTCCTCAAGAAACTGGCTGCTCTTGGCTTGGACTGGCGCACGCTTTGTTGGGTTAGAAACTGGCTGGATAGCCGGGCCTAAAGAGTCATGGTAAATGGAGTCAAGTCCAGTTGGAGGCCAGTCACTAGTGGCGTTCCCCAGGGCTCGGTGCTGGGGCCAGTCCTCTTTAATATCTTCATCGATGATCTGGATGAGGGGATCGAGTGCGCCCTCAGTAAGTTTGCAGATGACACCAAGTTAGGTGCGTGTGTCGATCTGCTTGAGGGTAGGAAGGCTCTGCAGGAGGATCTGGATAGGCTGGACCAATGGGCTGAGGTCAACTGCATGAAGTTCAACAAGGCCAAGTGCCGGGTCCTGCACCTGGGGCGCAATAACCCCAAGCAGAGCTACAGGCTGGGAGATGAGTGGTTGGAGAGCTACCTGGTGGAGAAGGACCTGGGAGTGATGGTTGATAGTCGGCTGAACATGAGCCAGCAGTGTGCTCAGGTGGCCAAGAAGGCCAACAGCATCCTGGCTTGCATAAGAAACAGTGTGGCCACCAGGGCTAGGGAGGTGATCTTCCCCCTGTACTCGGCTCTGGTGAGGCCGTACCTCGAGTACTGTGTTCATTTTTGGGCCCCTCGCTACAAGAAGGACATCGAGGTGCTTGAGCGGGTCCAGAGAAGGATGACGAAGCTGGTGAGGGGCCTGGAGAACAAGTCCTATGAGGAACGGCTGAGGGAGCTGGGTTTGTTCAGCCTGGAGAAGAGGAGGCTCAGGGACGACCTTATCGCTCTCTACAGATACCTTAAAGGAGGCTGTAGAGAGGTGGGGGTTGGTCTGTTCTCCCACGTGCCTGGTGACAGGAAGAAGGGGAATGGGCTAAAGTTGCGCCAGGGGAGTTTTAGGTTGGATCTTAGGAAGAAATTCTTTACCGAAAGGGTAAAGACATTGGAACAGGCTGCCCAGGGAAGTGGTGGAGTCACCATCCCTGGAGGTCTTTAAAAGACGTTTAGATGTAGAGCTTAGGGAAATGGTTTAGTGTGGACTGTTAGTGTTAGGTCAGAGGTTGGACTTGATGATCTTGAGGTCTCTTCCAACCTAGAAATTCTGTGATTCTGTGATATATATTTTTCTCATTTACTTGCCTAGTTACAACTAGTTGCAATATAGACAATAGAAAAGTAGAGCCTTACATGTGCACACTCTCATTCTGAGTGCTATCCCAAGGAACGACAGAATATCACAGCATTTCAAATAAGGTGTACATGGATATTCAGTTATGATAGCATGTTTCTATGAAGCAACTTGGCATTTCCAATGGCATGTGAAAAATGGGTCATCCATCAACCAAGTTGTTTTGATGCTCAGTACATATGAGTAGAGAACAGCAAGACACTTCTGGGGAATAGAGTTATAGCAAACATGGACAAAATCACCAAAAAAAAAAATAATAAAAAAGTGAAAAGAAAAAAGTAGGACAGAAAAAATAGAGTAAAAAGACAGGGCCCAACCCTACCAGTTCTTACCACCTGCAATTCCCAGTGAAATTATGGGAAACCCAGGATCCGAATTATTTGCATTGGGTAGCAATGCCTTGATATGTTCTTTTAAAGAAAATCGATAAAGTAGATTGTTTTAAGAAAATAGAGAACAAAACCCTATGGAAAATAGGTTCTTTCTCGGCAATTATTTCTTAAAAAAGAAAAGGAATAAGTGTTCTTATCTGAAAATAAAAATAAAATAAAATAATGAAAATAAAAATAAAATGTTCAAAGGGTATCAATGCTGCAATTGTATTAATGCCACTTTGGACATGTTCTCCAAGTTGTGGTTGCCTTAATAACCTAAAAATTATTTTTTTTTGTACATAATGTAATTATAAAGCTCTCAGTCTGCATGGATGCAAACTGTGTGTGAAAAATCGTCTCTTTAAATGGTCAGTTCAAATTGTACATTTCTCATTCGAGTTGTACGTTAACCACTGATCTAACTTGGGTAAAACACCTGAGCTACATTTCCACAGCCCAATCAAAATGTTTAACTCAAAGACTGAACATGAAGCTGTTCCACTGTAACAACGCTTTAAAAAAATAATAAAAAAAAGTCGGTTGTTGAAATTTGAAATAGGGAAATAGGTACATCTTATTTTATTTCTTTTTAAAGTCCTTCAGTACACCCAACACCTGACATGGCAAGATGGATATTAAAATTGGGAGGGGGGAGGGAAAATTCCGGTAAGGGAGTGGGGAGTGGAATTATTCAATGATTCATAAGCCAACTGTTATTCCCATGACATAGCATGACAGTAAAGAGAAGAGAAGAGAAGAGAAGAGAAGAGAAGAGAAGAGAAGAGAAGAGAAGAGAAGAGAAGAGAAGAGAAGAGAAGAGAAGAGAAGAGAAGAGAAGAGAAGAGAAGAGAGAAGAAAAAGAAAAAAGTCCCCACCAAAAAAAAAGAAAAAGCTTTTTTATTCTGTTATTTATTTACAAAAATCATATCAAGACTATGGTGTTAAAGGGACACTGTAAACATACAGCTCATTATTCTTAGAGACTGATTTTTCTTCTGTGATAGCACCTTAGCTTATTAAAACTGAATGCATTTGGGGTTTGGACTGGGGTTGGGGGGCTGGGAGAGGGTTTTTTGTGTTTTTTGTTTTTTAATTTATTTTTTTAAGGATGGAACAAATGTTGAGATCCTATCTCCTTAAAACTCATAAGGTGGATCGCAGAATTTTGTTTCCGATTTGTTTTGCATCATTCGTCATACTCATTTGTGCTTTTTGTTTTCCAATTAATGCAGCTTAGAAATAAACCGACTGGTTCCTGCTTCCGTTACAACCAACTTTGCTTTTCATTTCTCTTGAATCAGTGCAGTGTTACTGACTGAAGCTGTAGGCCTGCAGGAAAAAAAAAATGCTCATGCCTCCCCCAGCTCCTCCTTTCTTCCTTAAAAAGCATTGGACGGAATTTTAGATGATTCAGAAACCTTTGGTTTTCCATCTTTCCCTTGGGCCTGCAAGTAGTTGACAGTGTCTCTTAAAATGCAAGAAGAAAAAAAAAAAAGGTTTTGTATTCCAGGTAGCCTATAAGCTGAAACTAAGCCTTCTATCCTTAGCTTCATCTTCAGTGATCTCTTTATTAGCCTTGAAGGGCATTTTGACACGTAGCAAGTGGAACAAAGGTCTGAAAGGACCAGATTCTGTCACTGAATGCCTGTTGAGGTTTCAAGATGCATCAGGTCTTACAGAGTGCCAGTAAGGGCACATAAATGATTCTATGATTCTATGAAATGTGCTACTCAAGATGCTGCTAGAGGCAAAGCCTCCACTTAGAAAGCACAACCCCATATACCCTTCACTGAGCATTTTGCATATGGAGAAAAAAATTAAAAGGCACTTTTGAAACTAAGTTAAGAAACTAAGGGTAGCATTCAAGACTTGGTAACTGCAAGCTGTCCAGTTAGGATGGGCTCTACCCTGGGTGCCCAAGGTTTGTTTTTCTCAGTGAGAAGGTGCTGGGAGAGCATGGCACTGCGGTACTGCCCGGGCAGTTTGTCTGAACACCAGCTGGTGCAGCCAGTCCTGGATGGCAGGAAGATTAGCTTGTTAACTTGTGTGAAAGCAGGCTGAAAATACTGTTAGATGGCACTCATAATTTGTGTTCTGCATATTGCATAGTCTATAAATACAATAAGCAAGTTGCTGACAGAATAATATTATAAGGCGATGTACTGCATGCAGATCATAAAGGATTTAGTTTTAGGGCTTAAGGCTAAAATCCCACTCCTGCAGTTTATTACCCAACGATATTCCAGTAATGAGCTTTTTGATTATTTTTTTCTTTCTCTACCACTAGGAAGATTTACTGAGGAACTATCTAAATTCTCTCCACATATTTCCAAGGACTGTATAAAACTGGGGCAAAAGCCCTTTTGCTTATTAAGACCAAAAATATTTTTCAAACATGTCCATCGTGTCACAGATTAACACATCTTAGCATGCTTCAATAAAAACGCAAAACAAAATCACATGGCAATCAGCCATATGAAGTGAGGCCACAGGTCTGCATCCTCTCCATGGGTACTGTATTCTTCATCCTGGTATAAAAAGAAAGGGGACAAATGTGCAGGAAGAAAGGAAAAACAAATAAATGATCACTTGTGTCTCCAAGAGCTTCATACTGTCAGTTTCTTGAGCACTTCATTATTAAATTTTCTGTGAAGCACCTTGCATGTTTTTGGGTAACCTCTTCCTTCCATATCATCCGAAAACTGGGGTGCAGCACTTTTGAGACAATTAGAAGCACATTTCAACAAAGGACACATATTTGAGATCTGCTTAAGATGCCTGCGTAGGTTGTATAAACCACTACATAGAAAAAAAAAAAAAAAAAGTAAAAGCATGAAAAGAGCTGCCAATTGGACAACATGGAGAAGCAGTTCAATCCCATGTTGGTTTGTTTTACTTTTCTTTTTCTTTATTTTTTAAGCTATTTCTTAAATAATAAGTGCACATGAAGAGTTAAATATGTATATACTGTATTTCAAAAAAAAAATCAAACAAATAGGGCACAAGATTGTTCTATAAGTCGTGCTGGTTAATTTTTAGTTTGTGTTCATAAGTGTTTTTTAAAAGCCTTTTTTAAAGTGTAATTTGCATGTTCTACTTTGATTGTATGTACACATATTTTAGAGCAAAAAATGCATTTGTATTTTATTGAATATAAAGGCAACTAAAAAAAACTTGTACATTGTTTGAAATGTTCTTTTTTGTAACAGTTTTTATTCATGAAGCATTTTTGTACATTTAAAAATGGATATGGACTTGCTGTTCTTTGAGACTTAGATACATCTGGCATGCTTTAATGTCATGCTCCTTCATGATCTTAGAT